TGCATAAAAAAATTGTATTAGCAATTAATAAAGCACATTTCATTTTTTCCTTAGTTTTTCCACTTTCTTTCGTAAGTTATTTTTTTTTATATAGTATTTTTAATATTTCCTTTATAATAATATAGAATTTTAATATTAAAAAAGTAATATTATTTTCATTTACTTTTTATTAATTTCCCATTTTTCTAATTGATTCTCATCTTCATACTGACAAATATTTTCTATCTTCTAATCCAATAACTATAAATATCTAAATAAAAAAATTCATAACATTACATCAATTTACAAAGGAATTCAACAATTATAGTTGCATAATCAACTATTTTAATAAATTTTAAAAACCCAACAAGAATTTAATATGAATCTAATTTTATATGTAAAATAAATTTATATAAAATCATTTAGATTTTTTATTATAAATTAAATAAAATTTTATAATAAATATTGCATTTAATAATGTAAATTTATAAATAGGCTTTTATTTTAAAATATTGCAAAATATATTCTACTAACTAATTATCTGATGATATGCAAGGCAAATAAATCTATTTAGAATTTGGAGGACATCTAAACTTTAATAAGTAAGGTTGATATTTTGGTTGTTTAACAATGCGAACATTAGGAAAAATATTGTGATAACATATCACCTAACGAATCTATTCAACCATATTGTGCTCAATCTTCTTGTAATATGAACTGTCAAAATTTACGAAATGGAGGCAAAAAATTTAGTAGTGTTTCCTTTTAAAACAAAAAAAGGAAGTTTTTCAGTAAAATTTACTTTTCTTATTACTGATTCAGTTAGCTAGATTTCATCCGAATCTATAAAAAAAAAATAATACTTCAATAAAAAAATACAAACAAGTTAAACAAGTTAAAAAAAGAAAGTTAGTAAAAACCGTCTGATAATCCCTCGTAATACTTCTGATATTTAATTCCAATCATATCTCACATTTTGATCTAAGCCGTGTAGTCCGAATAAAAAAAAGTTGAAAAAAGTTTTCGTTTAATGCCCTTGGTTCTTCTGATCTTTAATTTCCAGCTCATACTACCTTCCAATTTCGGTTTCTAAACTCCAAGGCCAAAAATTCGCGCCTAGCAGGTACTGTATATATCTAAAAAAAGACAAGGAACGTTAGTAAGATCTTACTAATGTTCCTTAACTCCCAATTCTCAACCTACCTTTTCATTCTGAAGTCCAAGGCTGCCTATAAGAAAAAAAAAAGGAGCATTAATAAGCCTTGCTAATGTTTCTTAAATCCCCTTATTCCTAATCCTTCCATAGTTTACTTCCATAGTTTATTTTCAATTTCCAAAATTCAATAATTAATGACAACCGGGATTCTAAAAACTATATAAATAAAAATATTAGTAAGTTTTTATTATATTTCTTAAAATCTCTACTCCCTAATTCCCACACCCAATCTTTACCTTATTCTAAACAAAATGAATTCTACTCGTTCATAGTCCATAGTATCTAAAATAAGCTTTTTTTAATAAAAAATATACCAGTTTATAAAAAAAAAGAGTAAAAAAAAAGAATGTCGTTTTTTTTTACCGAGTTTAAAAAAGTATTAAAAAGTATTAAAATATATAAAATGAAGATTTATACAAAATGATTATTAAATAAATCAAGTTTAAGAAAAAAGTTTTAAAAAAAATACGAAAAAAATGTTTGAAAACACGAAATTAGATTAAATAAAAGTTTAAAACCAAATTTTATCAACAATCGTAGAGTAGTGATTGACATTGCAGATCACGATTTTTTATTTGCAATGTTTTCAAGTTTAGAACTATAAACTTAATTTCTTAATAAAAGATATGTAATAGTTCAAGTTAAATATTAGCTAAATTTCTAGTTAGTAAACGTTTTCTTAAGAGTACGAATTATAGTTATTCATTTGGTACTAGATCAATATTAAATTTAATCAGATTTTTTTAATCTTAAAGGTCGATTAAATAAGAGCTTTTTTCCAACTTTAAAGATTAGCCAAATGTCAAATGTTTGATACATTATTTGATTGATTTGGCCAAAAAAATCTTATGATCAAAAGAAATAGTTTCTTAAATTTATTGCAATTATATAAATAAATATTTTTAAAACCCATACAAATTTATATGGAAATTTATATAAATTATAAAATAGGTATTATATATATAATTAGAATATAAAATATTTGTTTGTTATATATTATACATAATTATAATTAATGTAATGTAGGACTATTCTAATATGAATTTATATCTAATCTATAGTCAAATAATATTGTGTGAATATTTTATATAAAATTATAAATATGAAACTATTTGAATATAAATTTATATATAATCTATATTCTATAGCCAAATAAATACTATGTATGAATTAATTATATATTTACGAATTTCAATACGTGTTTTAATTGTTTTATAAAAATTGTTAAGTAAACTGTATGGGATTAAAATATTCATACTTAATTTTTAAATGTTATTATTCTATATAAAATCATAATAATTTTGAAATTTTAGTTTATATCAATCATGATCGCCAACATTTATTCATCATGTGATTTTGTAAAATATTTTGATTGGTAATTTTAATCAAAAAATAATCAAATAAACGAAAAATTAACTAGATGATTGGTAAGATGCAAAAGCAAAAGGATTCATTAAAATTTAAGATATAAAATTAACGAAAATAATTTTAACTAAATAAAAATACGTGGTTATTAATGTAATTTGTGATTGGCGTTTCGATAAGAAATACCGACAAAAATACAAATATCAATAAGTTATAATATAAATATGTCTCAAATAATAATAATTACAAAATGGATTATTATGGAAGAATATTAAGTAAATTATGTAACATTTTTTCGTTAAGAGTAAAGAAAGTTTATTTTTTAAAGGAAGATTTTAAACACCAAATTAATAAGCATATAAGAACCAATAAAGAAGTTAAAAAAACCTTTTTGAAGTTAGACACAGTGGAATCATTTAGCCGGGCCCTGTAAAAAATCTGATCCGTGTTTTATCTTTCCATGTTTTTTCCGTGAATGTATCATTTTCATGGAATTTATAGCCTTAAATCATGGAAATTTTCATCTCGCTAACACGGATATCCGTGAATGTATCATTTTCACGGAATTTTTACGGAAGACACGGAGAAATAATGGAAATATTCGGATAAAAATTTTTTATAGGGGGGGTCATTTAGAATCGCTTGGAAAATACTAAGAAAATATTTAAGTATTCCGGGATATGAAGCTTAATAAAAGTTAAAAGTTGTGAAGAAAATGACTGAAAATTTTTATACTTTTATATCACACTATTTCTTTTATAATTGATACTAATTCGAAAATAGCTATTTTTAAATAAACCTTTCATTTCATTCAATCCCTTTTGTTATTTAATTATATTTACCCTTTATAATTTACCTTTTTATTTTACTCATTACCCTTCTTTTTTTCAAATAATTTCTTTATTGAACGTCAATCCTTACATAGATAGTCGTACCCGAGTTGGTATTTTTCTTAGATTAAAAGATGTCCTTGAAATCTTGAACTTCTAGCCATTTATACACCAATTAACTGTTAAACTTTTTTTAATGCTCTAAAACTTTTATATTTATATTATAAATAATTTTTATTTATAGCTTTATTTTATTTAGCATTTACCGTTTTAGTTTTAGCCAGTTATTATGATTGTTAAAAGTTATAATAAAGTTTAATTCGTGATCCGGGAGTGATTTTCATTCCTTAAATAATGCTCTTTATGTGAACCATTCAACACCAACATATTTTAATACATAATATTTATCCCAAAGTTTCAAATAGTTTGATTTTTACAATAATTTTTTCACATAATTTTTTACTTTTATTTTATTTTTTTTTTTTATTTTTTTTTTTTTCTGCAGATCTTTTGCAGTTGAATTAAATAGGAATAAAAATGTATTTTATCAGAGAATATGTGTTCAAAAGAACTATCTACCATCATGCCTGCCCAAATACTTTCACATGCATAAAACATCCTACTGGTATTTGTACATCCTTTGGTGACTAGCTCAAAGATATTTCTCTATAAAAAAAAAATAAAACTATAACATAAAACAATTCTANACAAAAAAAAATAAAACAATTCTAAAACCTAAAAAAATCTAGTATATCCTAAATTAATTTACATAAAACATCTAAAATTTCCACTAAGACCTTAGATCATGATGTTTTACGGGACTTATCTTTCTTCTGCTTTTTATGCTTCTCAGATTTTGTCTCTTGTGGTTTCTTTTTAGAATTCTTAGAATTCTTTTGACTTTTATCAGTCTGTCAACTTCCTGAAGTTCTTTTTTGATCCTTGTTGGCATTATTGCCAAATGCTGTTGCTCCCAATCATATTGATTATCTAATGCTGTATGCATATCAACCCACTTTTCAAAATAACCAATAAGCTTACGATCTCCTTTTGCTGTCTGTACAATTTTAAAGCTTTTCAAACCATTAATCGCAGTAAGTAATGAATGTAGGCGATGGTCTTTCCATAAGGTTGCTAATGTCATCGAATCTGGAATTTTTCAAATTGTAGCTTGAAACTTCTTACATTGTTTTCTTTCTTTGAGTATCCACCTTGCTGGAAACTACTGAACTGGTATCCCCTAAATCTGTAGTCCAAACTGGACCATCATTACCTTTGAACTGGGCTAGATGAAAGGAAGTTAATTCTATCTTCAAATGAACTGTCTGGTATTTCTTTTGTTGTTTCATTTGTAACGAGATAGTCTTTTCCCACAGAGTTAACTGTTGCAGAATTTCTTCTGGTGTCAAGGATACTGGAACATCATAAACCAATATATCTCTAATCTGTAATATACCATTATCATCTGGTTTAATACCTGTAATAACTTGTTGAATAATATTTTTATTTGACTTCATTTTTTTATTTGAAGATTTTGTCAAATTAGATGAATTGTCAACTGGTTGTTTTACAAGCTGCGGCTGTGGTATTACATCCAGTTCAGAAATAGGTTATACTGTTGAGATTTCCATATCAATAGGTTGATCAACATGTGATTGTGATTTAGAGGCATCTGCAATCGACCGATTTATAATTACATCTTGATCAACACCCAATTTATCATCATCATTATCAGTATTTCTCATTATTCCACTAGTACTTACATCTGTAAGCACATCAGAATCAGAATCTTCAGATTGGTGTTTTTTCTTATTTTTTTTAGCCTTCTTGCCCTTTTTAGACTTTTCCTCATACTTTCTCACTAAACATAACATTTGCTTTCTTCCTTCACTGAGCTCATTTATTCCAGAGTATACTGCGTTAAAACCCTGAGAAGCAGAGTACATAGCAACATGTAAAAAAAAAGAAAAACTTTGAAGTATCATTTTATAGCAAGAAGCTCTATTCTCCCAACTGAGTATTTCTTCATTTGATAGACCAAAATTTGCTTTTAAAATATTATTTTGAACTTCTACTTGAGGTCCAGAAAAAAATGAAGTAAAAAGACTTTCACAATATTGAAAATAATGTGTATATGTAAAATGTAAAAATCTATGTTCTTCGCCAGTTCCATAAGGAAACTTATTTTTGGCTAATTGTATATTTCTACTATCTTCCATATTAATAAAAATGAGAGTAAAAAAAATTTTTATTTTTTACTGTGGAATTATTATGTTTTTAAGAAATTGAGGAAGAAGTTTTTTTTTAAAAAAAAATTTTTACTTTTATTTGACGCCACGCCAGATTCCCATTTTCTGCAGATCATTTGCAGTTGACTTATACTTGTGGATCACAAATTAAATGATAAAACCTACATTTTTAACTTTTGTATACAATATGAAATACAAAATTGTCTTTATTACATAATAATAATAAAATAAAGAATTTTGAATAAAAATTTCTCTATATTGTGAAGTTAAATTTTTATATCATTAAAAAAGTAATATATAAGTAGTAACAAAGAGTAGAGCTGTGACCCGTTACCTATCTATGAGTATCCAGGTTATGGAATAGCAAATGTGTAAAAATGGGTAATACCCATTTTGTATCCATTTTATGTTGACATTTATATACCCAGGTATTACTCGGGTAATTGCCCATAAATTTTGCCAGAATTGAGATGTTAACTCAGGCCAGAATTTTAATGCCGGCCAGAATTAATGTTTATAAATCACTTGGTGATCGTCACTAATAAGTACGGTTACAAGCTTTAATATTTGAACGAGAAAGTTACCACAAAAAATAACTTTTGTCCCATTTTATTAATTCTGGCTAAAATTGTAATTTTTGGCTAGAATTAAATGTTTACCACTGGTGAGTTTTAGCAATGCTAGATTTCTTTATTTTGTTTTATATATTTGATAATTATCTTAATTTATAGATTTATTGAGAAAAAAACAGGTTTTTATCCGGGTAATACCTGGGTATACTCGGGTCATATCTAACAAAAAGATAAATGGGTATAAACGGTATAATCAGGTAATACCCGTTTTGGAGTCGGGTAACACATTTTTTGATTTGAGTATGATCTGGATACAGAAATTCTGATGGGTCGCAGTCTAACAAAGAGGACTACCCCTGCGTACCCTTCAAAAATGTCACGAAACGGCCGGCATTACGGCGTTATGCACTAACACGTGAAAATAAACAGTGACGAATAAGGGTGTGACGAATACGTTTTTACTTACTCGAAAAAAACTAAGTCCCTCAGATACTTATGAAAAATGGAAACAAGGAAGGGTGTGACGGATGTGACAAAAAAACAGTCACGTGAATTTTCGTGACATTTTTGAAGGGTACGCAGGGGAAATCAACAAAGAGATCAGCACTCGCTTACTATTAGCTCTACACGTCTCTTCAGGGCCAGAATTACATAATTCCGCCTGGCATTATTCAAAAAAGGAAGGAGCTACACGTTATTTTGGCTTTATATATTTTAAATATTAAAATAATTATGATTAACTCACCTTTGTTACTTTGTTATGGAGACTATTGTTGTGATGTCTAAAGTGCAAGAAATTTTGTCAAATTTTGTTACATTAATTTATCGAGTATTTTAACTTATATGATAAAATAAATTAAAAAAAAATTGACATAAGAAAAGAACAATAATTACAATAATTTATTAACAGACAGGCTGAATAAACTGTACTATTACCTGTAAAAAAATAATTACGTTAAAATGAAAAAAACTTTTATTGATTTGAAATCAAAGGTATAATGTTTTATTAAAATAATTAAGAGATATTAGCTTATTTTACGTTAGAAATCGTGAAGTTAATCAAATTTACAATGAAAAAATATATATATTAAATTTCTTTTCTTACATTTCTACCATTAAATTCTTTTTTATATTTTACATATATAATTGACATTCAAAAGTCAATACGAATTTCCCACTATGTTTTTTTATTAAAAAGTTTCTTTTTAATAAGAAATTATCAAAAAAACCTTAAACATAATTTTCCTTACTTCTACTATGATCAAAGATGTAGTGTTTTTATTACAAATAAAATATCCTATACACATTTTTTATTGGATGGGAACGAAACTTCTGTGCTACGAATTTCGTGATTTTCTTCAAGAAACAAAATTATGAAACGCAACAAATTGTGAAACTAAAGTCCTCTTATTAGTATGGTTGCAATAACAGTTAGTTAGAAATGTTACACTACATTTATTATATCCACACATGAAAACTCTGACTAACTTTATATATTAGGCTTGTTCAATTCTGATCGTTCGGGTTTTTTGATCGAAAATCCATTAACCAATCCTATCATGTGATCAAAATAAAAATTGATCGGGCTTATTAAACGGTTAACCTTGGTCACCTTATTTTTCGTATAATAAAACATTTTTCTTTTTTAAAATGGCAAATAAGCAATACATAAATGTATATTAAACTTTTTGAGGGCGCGTATTAAAACTTTACTAGACACCAGACACGTTAAAAAAAAGCGATCAAAATGATACCATATTTTGTTGTTCGGAAAGTTCGAGTTGTTGATCAGGTCACACAATTTCATCAGCCAATATTATCAATTCGAATAGGCCCTATTGGTAATTAAAGTGATACAGCATAAAAAAAGAACCAATAAAATGAGACATAGCACATATTAACTCTTGCTACTAATACTCCAATGCGGTGCATGATACTATAAAATTCAAGATATTTAAAAGATTTATGTTAAGTTTTGTAACAAGAAATATAAAAAATAATAAAGTTTCATAATAACATAAACAGATTATGTAAGACCCTTTTATATTATTAAAAAAAAAATAGCTAAGAATTTTCTTACGTTAATAATTGTATTGATAAGAATTTATGTATTATTTAACAAAGAGTTTTTCTTTTCTCAATTTTAGAGACATTTCAACCAATCAGAGGACCAATGTCGAAATGCCAAAAATAATGAAAATTTCTTTCCAGTGTTAAATATGAAATGACTGATCGGTCAACTATGTAAATCAAAACTATATCAGGTAGCTTAATTAAACTATTAATCAAAGATTTTTTAAATCATAATAGATACTTAATAGAGAGTCTCTTTTACATAGGCCATAATATTAAAAGAATAGTTCGCGAATTTTTAGATGTCTAGAGTGAACCTTCTTATTATTTATTACTTTTTTTTATAAATATCCATTCTCATACACATCTCTGACAAAGTTACGTTGATTATTTTTGTATTAATATTCAACTTTCAAATCAATACCCTGCAAAACCTCTCTCTATACTAATATTAAGTAAAAGGAAGGTTATTTTTTCATTAATTGGTAAAATATTTCAAATTTAACAACGTAACTCTGTTATTCTGGAATTAAAATTAACTTTAACATCTAAATTTAGCATTGGTATTTACAATTCATATAAACGAAAGTATCAAGCTCGGAAAGCAGCCAAAAGAGTCTAAAAAAATGACCATAATGGAAATAACAAGTCAATTAATTACCCATGGCAGGGGAAGTATTGCGTCAAACCTTTTTAATTGTATCATAGGCAATAAATAAAATAGTGATTATTATTACTTATAGCCAAAAAATATCTTTTTATTTTATATAAAAAAATTTCTTCAATAAAAAAAAAATATCACGTATCACAGTCTAATAGTAAATATTTAGGACTCGAGCACTGTAATAGGTAAACACAGAATAGGCCAAAATAGCTATGAAAATCTTACCTTTTTTAAATATTTTTCGGTAATGTTGGTCAGAATTTATTATTTATTTTAGTAACTGACTGACATTATTATAATTCCGGCCCTGAAAAAATGTGTAGATAATAGTAATATTTTGCTAATTTTCTATGACCTATTTATATAGTGCTCGGGTCCTAAATACTTATCATGAAATCAAAAGTATCATGAAATCAAAAGGTTTAATCTAGATCCTAAAAATAGAAAAAATTTGACCTAAAAAAATTCATCATAAGCTATTTCTTCAGATTCATAAACATATATAGCCCTTCGCTTCGCTCCGGACATAAGATTTAAAACAACAATTTTTTTTTTAAACAATATTTAATTATTTATATTATGCAATAATTGAACAATTGTTAGATATGCACAGTTATTATTACCACAACTGATCGGCATAGTTGCACCGGCTTCATATAGTATTTAACTGCAGTACAGAAAGTGATCAACAAAACAGTATTACTAATATAAATACGTTTGTGAAAAAAAAAAAAAAAAAATTTAAACTCTATTTTTTTTCTTGTTTAAATTATTCTAAAATGTCTAATAAGCAAGTTAATTTCAAAACTAAAAATTTATTATATGAATTTTCTCAAATTATTCAAAATTTTGATAAAATTAATATAAAAGAAACTGAACCTATTATAAATGATTATATTTTTGAAGGAGATTTAAGTATCATGATTGATGATTTGGTTGATCTTATTTTTATGAAATTAAATGAAGGGAAAGACGCAATAATAATAAAGCAACATGTTTTTAACTATCTTAATAATCACAAAATTATTTTACAAGAAATTCATAGTTGGCTTTCAAACAACCAAAATAATTCAAATTCTAATTATTTGTTTGGATATGTTAATTATCATGGAATTGGAACTAATTCTGACAGGAAAAAGGCAATTGAATTATATAAAAAAGCAGCAGAGTTAGAAAATAATGTAGCTCAATTAGATCTTATTCATATATATATTCATGGAAAAGATAATGAGATAAATTATAATTTAGCATTTAAGTTATCTAAAAAATTAGCAGAAAAAGAAATTCCAAGTGCAATATATAGTCTAGGCTATTGTTATTTCAGGGGAATTGGTACTGTTTATGATACAAAAAAAGCATTTGAATTATATCAAAAGGCAGCAGATTTAGGAAATTCAAATGGAATAAACAACTTAGGTTGGTGTTATTATGGTGGAATTGTAATTAAGTCTGATGATCAAAAAGCATTTGAATTGTTTCAGAAAGCAGCAGATTTAGAAAATTTAAGTGGAATAAATGGTTTAGGATGTTGCTATGAAAAAGGAGTT